ATGCCTGCAGCTGGCATCGGTCAACAGAAAGGGCCCAATTCTTCTCCACAACAATGCCTGAGTGCATGTCGCACAACCAATGCTTCAGAAGTTGAACGAATTGGGCTACGAAGTTTTGCATCATCCACCATATTTCCCTGACCTCTTGCCAACTGACTACTGCTGCTTCAAGTATTTCAACAACTTTTTGCAGGGAAAATGCTTCCACAACCAGCAGGAGGCAGAAATGCTTTCCAAGAGTTCTTCGAATCCCTAAGCATGGATTTTTATGCTACAGGAATAAACTTATTTCTCATTGGCAAGATTGTGTTGATTGTAATGGTTCCTATTTTGATTAATAAAGATATTTAAGCCTAGTTATAATGATTTAAAAGTCACAGTCCAAAACCACAATTATGTTTGCACCAACTTACTAACCTTCTTATCATTCCCCAAGCAGACAGTGCTGATAGAGACTGAATTCCTTAGGAAAAGTTAATGCAAATATGAAAAATTGACTTTATTAATTAATAGTAGAGCTCAACTCACTTTAAATATGTAAATCACTATTACATCTTTTGTGAATATAACCTAAATATCTCCCCAAATCAGCGTTTTGCCTGAATTAAGGTTTTCTTACATGAGTAGCAAACACTGAGGAAAAGGAAATAGTGCTTTAATTGTCTGCAATTGAATGGGTTATATCCCTCCTCTTTTCTCTTTTGCAGGATCTAAGCTTTTAAAATATCACTCTTTAATTAGAGAAAGAAATATGCTTCATGTTAATTTGGAGTCAGTCTGCTAAAGATTTTGCCTAAGAAAAGATTTAGCTTGGTTTATAACTTTCATAGTTTATAGTTAATATGCTGATTTGTAATTAAATAGGGATGGTCAAATGTGATGTACATATTTGGAAATACAGTGAGGGCAAACTAAAAATGAGATTGGAAATCCGCTAGCAATTTAAATCAGATATTCCTTTTAGCCTTTCTCCCATTGGATAGAGTCGATCTGTCTTCCTTCCTTTCGTCCCTCCTTCCTTCCTCTTTTCTACCCCATCCCTTTCTCTCTCTCTATCCACGCCCCTTTCTCTCTTTCCTAACCTCCATATAATGGTGATGATAAGAAAAATCCTTTTTCTAACCCTCTCTGGGTAAAACTGTAAGGAACCCTAAACAGTTGACCAGTTTTAAGCATCTGGGCACTATACAGCAGTTCTTACAGTCAAAAGTAAGTTCTCCAAGACTGGCAGATAAAGTTACTGAAAACTGCTAGTCATACATTTCAGGAATTGGAAGAAGTTCTATTGGAAATGCCTTTGAAGTAAATGATATCCTTACATGAAATGTTGCTGGGATGCCTTAAGCTCTAAAGCTATTGTTTGCAACAAGTGCCAAACCAGTAAATCTGAATGGCCCCAGGTAGCATTTCTAGGTGTTATGCTGAAGATGCATTGTTGACAGTACAGAATAAGAACTAGATTTTTAAAGTTCATGAATCTTACAGGGAGTGCAAAGTAAACTTAAGATGCTTCATACATGTGTCAGCTATTTAAAGGACACCAACAGTTTTAACTCACTTGGTTGCTTTAAAAATATATCTGTATCTGCTATCTCTGCTGCATTCCCTCTACTTTCTAATTGCCATACTCACAGGAAGAACTGCCTGGCATCTGGATTTCTTCCTGCCCCCAAGGACTTGCCATTTATGCATCATTTGTACCTTGAACTTTTTTTTTTTCTGTTGTTTTGGTCTTAATTGTTTTTCTTGTTATTTTTATTCACATAGAATGACATTACCTGAATTTAGAAAGATGGAAAGAGAAGTTAATAGATGATTTGAGACTGGATACTATGAAGTTGTCAACATTTATCTAGTTGTAGTAACATAGGGTGCTATTCTGTACTTGTTGAGAAATAGTGTCTTTTTCCTCCCTCTTAATCTTAGTGTCTGATTTGTAGAAGTTATTGAGTTGTTTCTCAACATCTTAAAGGAGGAAATGAAAGTAAAAATTTAAACGGTTACTCTAATAAATGAATTGTTTATACATTTGTCACTAGAAAACTACGATTTTTAGCTGAGTAGTAGCTTGTAATTGCAGTTATTATAGTTTATAGTATTTATAACCTGCTGTGGTTTGAATGTTGCTCTTGAGGCTGTAATTAGTAACCTACTAGATTTTAATTACTAGGAAATTTCAGAGAATGTGAAAATGTTTTGATTAAGCCTGAGAAATAGCCATTCTTGCTTCCCTCAAAATTGGCATCAGTGACTGCTTAATGACAGCAGAATGCTTTGAAAACATGCTGTTTAAAGTCTACCTATTATTAAATACCATAATAACTAGTGTGTAAGTGATAGTTGCTTTTTTGTTGTAGAAACTCTGTGGCAAGAGGAAAGCTTCAGAAAAATCCTTAAGAAAAATATAGTATAAAAAAGTAACTGGTAAATAGAATAGTTTTTATAAACTGGAATGTAGATGAGAAATAGAAAGATACATATACAGATTTGACATGATTATATTTATTTAAATTCCTTGTCTCCTTGAACTTAGGAGGTTGTTTTTTATGTAGTTTTTAAAAAAACATTATTTGTACACTTCTACAATTTATAGCTAGTCTCTCTTTTTAAAAAGTGCATGCCAAAACCCACTGTAATGTAATATAAACTTGCAAATTTGAGCTCTTCAGCGTCAGGAAACAAAAAGTGTGTATACTAATTTCTAAATTACTAGCTGGGTTTCTAAATGTATCTGTTGTTCCTACATCCAAGGCAATCTGTACAGAGCAGTCTGTATTGTTGGTGTTTCACTGAGTGTTTGCCATCGTGTAGTACTGTTTGTCTCTGCATTTATTCAACATAACCATATGCTATAATCTCTAGACCAGATGAAAGCATCCGGCAAGCATAGACTTCCAAGTAGGAGCCAAAGTAAGCAAGGGGAAATGAAGCTGCTATAAAATTTTGTGGACAGTAGTTGCAAAATGCTTTCTGAAGTTTGTACATAGTAAATGGCAAAGTAGGTCACATCTCATTTTTTTTAATAAAGTCTTTTCCATACTCATTTTTCAAAAGTATACTTGGTATAGCTTATACTTGGTGATAAAAAATCAGCATTTTAAAATGGTGTGGTGTGAAGATAATTTTAAAATAGCAGTTTAAGTAATTAGGTACTTTTGTATTTATTTCCATTTTCTGTAAATGATGAGAGTGTTTTTAAAAGCCTGTTACAACTGAATACACTTTGGATCATTTCTTCCAATGCAAGGAGCTATATGCCTAAGAGAGACATGAGCAATGCTGTGGTTTTGTTTAATCTCATCAAACTTTATATCCAATTTTAGTCAGCAAATAAACTATTTAGAGTTTGTTTTCCTTTGCTGACTACCTTATTGTTAGCTTACTTTTAGTAAACAAGAGCAAGTTTAGCCAGCAGTTTTTGGAAATGGAAAAGGAGTAAAGAATGTGTGGCTTCTGCAGTCCAAAAAAAGAGAAAAACACAGAGAGAAAACTCACTATAGCATGAGTAATTGAGAGAGTTATTTTTTGTAAAATGTATAATTGAAACATTCTATTTTGGAAGGAGAATGGTGAGTGTGTGAACTGTCTCAAATCTTAACATTGAAATTAAAGATAAAATTTATCAAATATTTACTGTACATTTAATATGGATGAGATAAAAACTCATTTAGGGAGTTTTAAGAGTTTGGGATGTGATGATTGTTGTAACTTAATATTGAATATAGATCTCAGTATCGTGATATTTGAGAGTAAAAATAGATTTTATAGCTCTTTTGATTTAATGAAAGGAAACATGGAAGTTCATGTGTGGGAAGAAGCTTTTCAGTAATTGTCTCTCAGATCTGTATTGGTTTCACATTCTAACCATGCAGAAGTGGCAGAATAACACTATATCATCTTATGTAATCGTTCAACTATTACCCTATACCTTGACCTAATACATCATTTGTAAATCGTCAATAATACAGCCATCAAAATCATACTACTAGCCATACCACTACTGTACTACTGACCTTTTGCAATGTATTCATATCTAGTATCTCACTTAAGTCCTTTGATTGGTCTATCTGAACCTCTAAAGTGAATACATATACATATACCTGCACACAAACATATATATAATAATATAAGATGATGTGTATATACAGTACAAAAGTGTTTCCAAATTATTCAAGTGTCTTCATGATGGCAAGGAGATAATTGTTGGCTTTCATCTCCTACTATATATTAGGCTCTTTGGTAGACATTTTATATATATTATATCATTTAATCATCACTACTAAATTGTAAAATAGGTATCTATATTCCCATTTTACAGATGAGATCTCAATAGTCACATCTAGAGAGGTAGGAGATGGACTTTGAGAATGGTAAGGAAGATACTGATCTAGATGGAGAAACAGTGATATTCTAAGACGCCATTTGATTGTGTGTCCACTCTTCAGAGTGGTCAGGAAAGCTAATTTTGTGGAGGGGGTAGGACTTGTACTGTTTTCTGAGAAAGGGAGCAAAGCAGAAGAATGGGGTTTGTGTAAGTGCTGACAAGTTCAATATAGATGTGTTGAATTTAAGGAAGGAAAGGAAAGATTTTACAGAAGGTGGGTACAGGCAACTGTGGTAAGATTTGGGGGGGTTACCTTGAATTATATAGATTTTTTTAGGCATTTCTTTGAATATTCTTGATTACATTTAAACTTTGTATTTATGAAGGTATATAATGAGCTATTAATCCTTGAATAGTTATATAAATTTTGGGATGATTGCATGAATTTGAACATTATAGCTACCATGCCCTATGTAGGTTAAGGATATTTTTTAAGCAAATGGAATTGTATGAAATCTCTCTAAAATTTTTCCTTATTATTTATTTATTATATAAGCAAAGCTTGTTTACTGTAGAAAAATTAGAATATAGAAATTTCCATGAAGAGAAAAAAGCAGTAGTCCTGTCACTGGGTTGAATGTATTCTGATTTTTTTCCTATGTGTTTTTTCTTTCAGAAATATGGCTACACACACCTTTCTGCAGGAGAACTTCTCCGTGATGAAAGGAAAAACCCAGATTCACAATATGGTGAACTAATTGAAAAGTACATTAAAGATGGAAAGATTGTGCCAGTTGAGATAACCATCAGTTTGTTAAGGAGGGTAAGGAGTGTGAATGCCAACCAGTTTAAACCAACAAGGAAATGAGAAATTAAATCTGCCCTTCCTTTGAGTAATGAAAAAATTAGAGTATTGAATTTCTTGCTTGTGGAGGGTGGTCATGGTATTTGAGAATGGCAGAACTGGAAATTCCACTTTCACCTGGGAAGAAATTGGACAGTAGGAAACATTCTCTACCTTGGTCTAGGATCAGCTACAACTCAACATTCATATGTGTGTACTTCACCCTTCCCAGTGTGCAGACAGTCCATCCTTCTTCTGTTTCTGTTTCTTCTTCCTTTTCTCCTCCTCTTCTCCCCCCTCCTCCTCTCTCTTTTCTATTTCCTTCCTTCCTTTCTTTCCTTCCCCCTGTCCCTCCTTCCCATGACCCTCCCATTGTTGCCATTGTCTCAGTCGTGATGTTTCCTTTTCTGGTACATTCATCACCATTTTCAGTGCAAAATGCTGAGACTAACAGCTATCAAACTAAAATAGGTCCCATCTAAAAACCAGATACCTTGGGTCTACATGACTCTCCACTACAGATTCTCAAGATTATAGCCATTAATAGGTATTTTCACATACAAGAAATGTGAAGGAGAAATGGATAAGTGGGAACAGCAAGAAATAGTTGAAAGTTGGTGGAAAAGAGATGTATGAGCTTCTGAATGGAACCAGAGAAACTTGAAGAGTGGCTCCTTCACACATTCTTACCTCTTGTATCAGAGATTGTAGTAACCTGCTACCATTCAGAGAAACAAAATACTCTCTTCTTATTCTCTGAATGTAATGCTCTTTCTCCACTTTTATGCCTTGTTGTGAAAGAGTAGTCTATATTTTTACTTTTTCATTTTCTGCTCTTCAGCTCTTTGCACCAAGATTCTATTTCCATCTTCACTTAAACTATTCTGATGTTACCAGTGATCTTCTTTATCAAATCTAGGGGATATTTTCAGTCATTTTTCTTTTAACTTACTGTCTTTTTGAAACTCGTTCCTCCTTTGTTCTCTGTGACACAGTTTCTCTTGATTCTCTTCAGTGACTGCTATTTCTTAAGTCTCCTTTGATAAGTCTTCTGCAAATTTCTTAAACCATGATGCTTCTCAGGTTTCATTCTTGGTTCACCTCTTATTTTATACATTTCTTGCTGAATGTGTTATCCATGCCCAAGGTTTTCACTGTGCTAATGCTGCCAAAATCTGTAACTCTATCACATATCTTTTTTTCTGAGCTCCAGACCTTTGTAACTATTAGGCATCCATCTGAGTGTCTCAACAAGTGTCTCAAAATCAGCATGCCAAAGGCTGATTGTATCATCTAAAATGTGATCACCCTTTGTTTCCTGTCCTGGTTAATGGTTCTACCATCTACCCAGTTGCCCAGGCCAGCAATCTGGGATCCATCCTTTATTTCCACCTCTTCCTCACTTTCCCAGATCTGTTCAGTGAGTAGATCCTTTCAATTATCTTTTTCTTTACCCTCTTCTATTTAGCATTTTTTCTTTATTACTATATCATCTTAATTCAGATCCTTTTTTTTTCTTACTTGGACCATCACTAGAGCCTTATCATTAGTCTTTTGCCTTTGATCCATCTTTGTACCCTTATTCATCCTTTATGGTGTTGTCAGAGTTTTTTGTTTTTTTTTCTTTTCTAAAGGTGATGAGAACATGTTCTTCTACTGCTTAAAATTACTCAGTGGTCCTGTATTGTTTGCAGAATAAAACCCAAATCCTTAAGTGTGGTACAAGTTTTTCATTGATTTTGGCCCTACCCACTTTCTAGTGTAGCTTGCTTCTCGAAAGGAAGGCTATGACAAATCTAGACAGCGTATTATAAAAAGCAAAGACGTCACTTTGCCAACCAAGGTCCATATAGTCAAAGCTATGGTTTTTCCAGTAATCATATATGGATGTGAGAGTTGGACCATAAGGAAGTCTGAACACGAAAGAATTGACGCTTTCAAATTGTGGTGCTGGAGAAGACTCTTTGAGAGTCCCTTGGACAGCAAGGAGATCAAACCAGTCAATCCTAAGGGAAATCAACTCTGAATACTCATTGGAAGAACTGATGCTGAAGCTGAAACTCCAATAGTTTGGCCACATGATGCGAACAGTCAACTCGTTGGAAAAGACCATGATGCTGGAAAAGATTGAAGGCAAAAGAAGAGGGCGGCAGAGGAAGAGATGTTTGAATGACATCACCAGTTCAATGGACATGAACTTGGGCAAACTTGGGTGATGGTGAGGGAGAGGGACCCCTGACGTGCTATAGGCCATGGGTCTCATGGAGTCGACATGATTTAGCCACTGAAAAAACAACTTTCTAGTCATATCTCCTGCCACTTTCTACATGCATCCTAAGGTTCACCTCTACCAGCTTATTTCAGATTCATCAAAGCTGTTATGCTTCCTCATTTCTGAGCCTTTAACATCCAGTTGACACATTCTGGAGTACCTCGATCCCTGCCTGCCTGCCATTTTATTATTCAGAATTCAGCTTCACTGCCATCCCTTTGGTAAAACTCTTTCTGGCGGTTTCACAGGTAGTTTGTGCTGGCTTCTTGGTTTTTTCACAGCATCCTTGCGTACCTCAGTATAGAACTTAGCACACTGACTTACACATGTTTGTTAACCACTGGACTATAAACCTTCCAGGGGCCATGACCTTGCTCTTCATGTTCCCTGATGGTTAGACCTTGAATGAGTGTATGTTGAGTGAGTAGAGTATCAGTGTGCCTCTTCAGATATCTTCTACTACCATAATTGGGATAGAAATGCTATAGCAGGGACACAAAAGCATTCTGTGAAAGTTTTGTGAATATTGGAGATGCTAGATGCTAGGATAAAGCCAACCCCCAGATTAAGGAATTTAGGTCCTGACAGCCATTGTTCTTCTTGAGGAACCAGGATTGTTTGAGCACTGAGGGAACTGGTTGTTGGTTTACTTTAGAATAGAGACTTCTCTGGAGTCTGTCAAAGTCCTACATCTGTGCTTATCCCATGGTGGTTGATAGTGAAAAGAATTTAGAGATTCAAGATCTGTATCTCCCATTCACAGATTTCCACATTCTACCTGAATTCAGACTTTGGAAGAGGATGACGAAATAATTCTTGCTATCTTTCTGAATGTATTCTCTTGCTACCTGTATTTTGGGATAGCCAGTGGCATTTAGGTTTAAATTAGCTTCAGTTATGAAAAAAAAAAAAAAAAAAGCATTGACTCCTACACTAATAATTAATGCTGACAATCTCTTTAAATGTCCAAAGTTTTTTGCAGTTGTACTTGAATTACTGCAGAGAATCTGAGTACCTATAGAAGCAGTGTATTTCCTACCATAGCTAAATGATTTGGAAAGAGGAAAAGGAAAGCAAGATAATGGGTCTCTAGTGGCTGGAGCAAGGATATTGATTAATGCTTATTTTTCTTTTCTTGCTGTTTATTATTTCATGAAAATAATATATGCTTACTATAGAAAATTTTTAAACTATAGAAAAAAAAATTGTGTGTGTATGTGTATAAAATGGGAGAGGGATACATACCCATAACTCTTGCCGGCTGGAGGCAAACATGTTATTTCCTTTAAATTTTTTTTTCCCGTGTACCCTCCACACTTATGATTTAAAGAATAATAATAAAACATACTCTGCTTAAGAAATTGCATTTTGTTAATGTAGCATTGAATTCAAATCTTCCTTTTTTTTAGGAAATGGATCAGACAATGGCAGCCAATGCTCAGAAGAATAAATTCTTGATTGATGGGTTTCCAAGAAATCAGGACAACCTTCAAGGCTGGAACAAGACCATGGATGGGAAAGCTGATGTATCTTTTGTTTTGTTTTTTGACTGTAATAATGAGGTAATGAAAATCTTCATCTGCCAACATGGGCTTTTAAACAGCTGGTGGTCAACTGTTAGAGAAAAAGAAAGTGATTTATTTTACTTACATTTACATTTTATATTGGCAGCAGTATTTTTTGAACTGGTAAGTTGGATGGACAGAACAGCACTGCCTTACTGTTGAATTATTGAAAGCTGTTTGGCATCAGCAAACTTGTGGGCCTAAAATTTGCCTTATTTTGAAAATAACAAGAACTTGTTTTGAATTATGAGTTGACTCATATAATAATATTAGGTAATGAAGCTGCACTGTTACTTCTTGAGTAGACACTATTGTCAGAGAGTATCTTGCCTTAGGGTGTTGTTTAGTGGAAAAGAAACACATTTTGGGGAATTTGGGAAATCTTTCTTTTTTAAAGAAACATGTAAGATAGCCTGATTTGTCTTTTAAGAGTGAAATGAAAAAAAAAAAGTGAAATGATATTGAAAAAATCAGGAAAGAAGACTTTTTCTTTCTGGCACTTCTAATAACATACTCAGACATACTTTTGAATAGCTGAATGAATTTCTTGGAATCCTTTTTTTGGGGGGGAATCATTTAATTAAAAGACCTGACTCTGCTTGACAGCTGTAATATAAACTTTATTAAATTAATGCCAACAGCCTGAAAAAATAAGAATCAGCAGTAGTGCCTTGAAGGAAGTTGACTATTCTTAGGTTGAATTGCAAATGTGCTTGTGGTGGAGAGACTTACTGCAGCTTTTGAGTTGTTTTAAAATGTAACTCTCTTCTTCCAACCCCCAAAAATATGTTTTCACTTATTCTTCAAAGTTACTTTTAGAATGTTACCACAGCTTTATAACTAAGGAATGTTTATTCACGATTACCAAGGGATACTTTATTCAAATGCAAATATGTTGACTCAAATATTAAGATATTTATGGAATTATTGAAAAGTAAGCAAAAATGGAACAAAGTTTGAGGCATGTAATTCATACCTAATAAGTTAATAATATATCCTAGATGGAACCATACCCATAGAGATCATCTTTTTATTGCGGTTTGAAAAAAAATACACAGGAAAAACTGAGTCATGAATGAATTCTTATTATGCTCTGTACTTATTTAACCTAATTTATGTAAATTGAACCACATGTTGCAACTTTGCATGTTGATTAATGAATTAGGCACATTGGGTTTAAAGCAGGGTTTTGTTGGTAATCTCTTCAAACTTTCTTCTCTTTTCAGGTTTAAAAGATTGCCAAAAGACTGCCAAATTAATATCTTTTAAAAAATAACTTTTTATGTATTTCTGTTTTTAGATCTGTATTGAACGATGTCTTGAGAGGGGAAAAAGTAGTGGTAGAAGTGATGACAACAGAGAGAGCTTGGAAAAGAGGTACTTTGCAGTTTTTACCCATAGCCACTGTGCCTCAGTTTGGAACTTGAGTAACAGATTCAACACTTACCCATTTTGGTCCAGAAAAAGAAAATGTCATGCTTAAATATAGAAGGGCTTGTCTAAAAAGATGATAAGGGAGGGTGTCATTTGGGTTTTGTCCTGTATTGTCTCCTGATCTATAACAGGGGAGAGAAGTATACTTAGGACCTTGCAATATTTGCTTCTTTTGCAGAATTCAAACCTATCTTCAGTCAACAAAGCCAATTATTGACTTGTATGAAGAAATGGGGAAAGTCAAGAAAATAGATGCTTCTAAATCTGTTGATGAAGTGAGTACCCCTAGCCTGCCTAAAAGTAAAGTAAAATGTGATTTTGGGCAGGGAGGGAAGCAGTATGCAGGAGAAAAAGAAATACAATGTTATGACATTATTTTGCTTTTCAGAACACGAGACTGAAGGAAATGCTAAGCTTTTTCTTTTTTTTCTAACTGAAATATGTATGTTTTATTGATTTACAATATTGTGTTAGTTTCAGGTATATTTTTGAATAGAGTCTAAAGTGGGTTTTACAACTTCAGATTTGTTCTTTGTAAGAAGTAGGTGGTTTGTTATTTCCAACCTCTTTTTTTGAGCACTGGAAAATTAGCATCTTCAGAGCTGTGATTTGGACCATGATCATTTTTTTAAAATCTGTAACATGAAATCATCCAGCTGAATCGCCCCAACTGTTTTCACCACCTCCATCCTAGAGTATGTAGCTCCAGAGGTGCAGGGTTCCCACAACTCAATGCTTGTCTCTTCCTTCATAAATCAGTGGTCTCTGAACTGTGGTTTGCAAGCCCTCAGTGTTAGTCACTATTATTAGTTTCTCTTAAGTTCTAGTGTCTCTGATTCCCTGAATCATCTTCTTCTGGACCTTTAAAAAAAAAAAAAATCGTTAGCCTGTGCTGGGTCCTGGTCACGGTGCACAGGATCTGTGACCGGGGCATGCGGCCCCTCCATTTCAGGGCGTAGCCTCTTTGGTTGGAGCTCATGGGCACAGCAGCTGCAGTGCATGGCTTAGGTGCCCCGTGGCATGTGGGGTCTTAGTCCCCAACCAGGGATCAGACTTGTGTCACCTGCATTGAAAGGTGGACTCTAACCCCTGGACCACCAGGGAAGTCCCTGGACCTTTTTTTTTTCTTTATATCATATAGTCATTTCTGACTTATTATCCATGTCCACTTCCTATAGAGGTGAGGTAATACATTAGAAGACATAGTGTTTTAGAATCAGAACTAGGAAGATAAGCCACTTCAGTTTACTTTCTATCATGTTATTGGTAGCCTGTTAAGAAGTTTGTTTTGTCCTAAAAGCACTAATAAAATTGAACCATCATGTTCCTAATTTTATGTTTTGTTTATGATATTGTAATACTGTTTAAAGTAAAGCAGATGAAACTTAAGAAATTATGTGTTTTTTAATGATCCATTTTGAAAATTAATATAAAATTTACTGTTTTAACAGGAACTTAGCCATATGATGTTTTAACAATATCTGCTTTTTATTTTATTTTTTTTGCTTTTTAAAATTATTATCTTTTTTCCCTTTTAGGTTTTTGATGAAGTTGTGAAGATTTTTGACAAAGAAGGCTAACTCTGAACCTCAAAGCATCCTTGAAATCATGCTTGAATATTGCTTTGATAGCTGCTGTCACAACCCCCTTTTAAGGCAATTTTAATGTTTCATAATTATATCTCAGTTAATGGCTGGAAAGTATGTAGTAAGACAAATTAAATTTTTTATCTTCAATTTAAAAAAAATTTTTTTTTTGGATCATGGGAGTAGACAGTGAATTTGAGTCTAACTTCATCTTAGCTATGGTGCTCACAAAACAAAGAAGGGTATTAACTAGTTCTTTGTTTTTATTCAGAAAGAATATCCCTTATATAGTTTGTGCCTTTTGTGAGCAAAACTTTTTAGTATGTGTGAATATCCCTCTAGTAATTGCAACATGTTTGAATTAGGGATTCCCCGTGTCTTCTTTCCCTTGCAGGTTTTAAATTTCCAATCTGCTTAAGTGAATTTGTGGACCAAATTCCAAAGGAACTTTTTGTGTAGTCAGTTCTTGCACAATGTGTTTGGTAAACAAACTCATAAAATTAAGTCTTAGAAGTGTTCTACTATTTATCAAATAACTGACTATTTCCTATAGAGAGGTAAGAAAATTTAGACTTAACAGCTTGTACAAAGTTGTGTGACAGGGCATAGTCTTTGCTTCCAGGATTGGGATGGGGGCACTAGGGATTCAAAGCCTGGTGGAATTGTCAGCTTTATTCTAATATAAATTTGAGGGTATTGGTCAGGGATCACATCTAATGACATGTGTTCCTTTTGCTCTATTATATAATGTTATTAATGATTAAACTGATCTTAACAAAATTCATAGCAGTGGAACCTTGAAATGCATGTACTTAGATTTATAAAAGTGATTCGGTTAGTGTTTTAGTAATACTTCAAAATGTTTTTGTTTATTTTCTAGATTAAGTATAGGGTTTAGTACAAAGCAGAAGAAATTTAATGGTTAAATTTTACCATTTGTATTTTATTGTCTTGAATACTTTTTTTCATAGTTGTTTAAGAAGATTTAAAAATCATTGCACTTTGGCCAGAAAAATAATAAATTTATCTTATAAATGTTTAATTCCCTTCCTGGCTACTTATTCAGTAAATTCTTTTCTTTCCTTTTTTTTTGGGGGGCATCATGTTGAAGTAAAAGGTACAGAATTTTTAAAGAGCTATACAATCCAAAGGAATTTTCGTTTAAGTTTATTGGTCCTTTAAAAATCTCTGAAAAAATTGTTTTCTCCTTATCTTTTTCTGCCATCACTAATGCAGAATGGTATCCAAGGTTCTTAATATGAGATTTATTAAAATATTTCTCATTTTCAGCACTTATGCTGTTTGGTATATGGGGTTTAATTGGGCAAGGAATTTAGACTTTGTATAATTAGATTTTATATTTAAAGTCATTGGGAATAGTGGGGACAGTTTATGAATGTTCTTATATTGTAATAGGTTTATTTATTTCTATTATGAAATTTACTTTATTAATGATGAATTTGCAACATACCATAGAAAACAAAGTATCCATAAGTACTGTAACATATTGACTACTAAAATCTGTGTTAAGATTACCTTGGTTTCTTGAAAGAGATTGTAAAGAATTCTTATCTAGTGATTTAGTCTAGCCAATACTGAGGATTTTATTGGTAGTTTAAACATCTATAGTCTGAAGCAAGAGTAAAGACTTAAGATTTTTGAGACCATTCCTACTCACATAAGTGAAGAAATCCCTATCTAATGGGGATCTAAATATTTACATTGATATTGTGAAAGCAAACTAAGGTTTTTAAGAAGACTGCTGAGACTAGGTGCTTTGCTTCCTTTCATTAAATATCTTTCTGTGGCATTTAAGAACAAAAACCCAGAAACATGGTAATTAAATTACTGAACTATGAGGCTTTGCTTTTCGAGTAGGAAAACATGTTAGCAATATTGAGTTTAGGAGTTGATTGAGATACATCTGACTTCACTAGTTTGGTCGTTCCATTTATTAAAGATAGTTATCAAGAAGCTTTTGACTTTAAAGACCCCAAAGAAAACCTTGCTGTTTTTAAAAAAAATTAGCCAACATTATTTTCATTCAGTGATACTGGATGTGTATGAATTATTTAGTGAGTAATCCCAATAAATTTTGTGCTATGGCCTTTGCCTTTTGCTGATTCAGATTTCTATTCTCTCAAGCATATTGAAGATCAAGAAGCATCATATTTAGCACGTGAGTCCTCAAAGGAACAGCAGAGTTCAGGATCCAGGAGAATTTTCTGCTCTGTGTGTTATGTTTATGTGTCTTGAATTAAGCAGAAAGCATGGCTTTATCCTGTTCAAGATGTAATCCAGATTGAGACACAAGTAGCCTAATTTATTACTGGCCTGCAGTATCAATTGCTGTCTCTTTCAGGCGGAAATTGGCAGCAAGCAACATGTATCAGGATGCAGGTTTTTTTGTGGGCCTGTAGCTTTGTCCATATAATTGAAGTGGTTGCCTGACATTCCAGTGATCCCTGGAGATAATAGCGGCCGACAGTATTGGCCAGACAAGGTCAGCATCTTTTCTCTGGAGGTTTGGTGCTTCATCTACAAATACATACTAATTGCACAGGCCATAGTGCTACAATTTATACTCTGTCTTCCAAGAGTTTTCTGTATGAAACTAAGACTCTGATATGGATAGACCTTCAGATGTTTTCTGTTGGCTAACTTGTCATTCTTATGTAGCTTACTGCAGTTTTCCATAGCCTACTTTCATACTTCAGCTTAATGAAGTACTCCTTAATTCTGAACATTTTTTTAAATGAAAGAAAGGAAGTTAATTTATTGTACACCAAAGAAAAAGGCAAAAATGGTCCTAATCACTTATCCCTTTATTTCTTCATCTCTGACTTCATACTCTTGGATATAAGTCTGCTTTCCTTTGAAAAGGTATAGTTATTTTGATTGTGATTTTAATTCTGAACCCTAGCTAAGTTTTGCAGGTCACCATCTTTCCTGTTCTGGGGAGAACTGAAGGACTAAGTTGAATTTCTGGCTACTATACTATGCTCTGTCAGCCATGTCAGTTGCAGGCTATCACCAGGGCTCAGACTTTTATGGGATCCCTGCCATCCCATTCATTCTTTAAGAGGTTTTTATGACTTTGCCTAAGACCCAGGTATAAGACAAGAGTGCTCAATTATTTTGTACTATTGAGGGAGACAAAGGTAATAAATCAACATTTCTCTAGGTGGTGAGGTTCTTGCAGTCACAGGAAATTGTTTTTTATTTTGTGATACATTTTGAGGTAACTTCATGCAACTTCCTAACACTGGCTTTTGACACCAACCAGAGGAAAAGCAGGTTACTATATCCTGATACTAATGGGAGATAACCCTAAGAAACTTTAAGAGCTGTCTTCTCCACAGTGAAATCAAGCAGTTAAGCAGCATACTGTGGAAATAGTAGATATATTCTCATTTGGTTGATTAACCACATTTAAGTTGAGAAAGTAAAATTAAAAAAGAGCCACGTATGGGATTTTCTGGTGGTCCAGTGGTTAAAGGCTCTGTGTTCCCACTGCAGCGGGTGAGGATTCAACCCCTGGTCAGGAAATAAAATCCTACATGCCACACCAACCAAAAAAAAAAAAAGCCATGTATGTGAGCTTTGGGAAGACTCATATAGTTCGTTTTAAAAGGCTCCCTGGAAGAAATATACTTTCAGTAGCAGCGTCTATGAAATTAAGGGGGGAAAATTGCTACAATGGACTCAGGATGGACTTCCAAGAACACTCCTGAATTGGATAAGTTTCCTTAGTAGTTGGTAAATCCTTGCAACCCTTTGAGCACTACGGGTAGAACTGGCCATCCCACAGCCAGCTGGCTCCAAGGACTTCCTGAGCCAGAGGGGAAAGACATTGAATTGGTCCAGCAGTTAGTGCTGAAAAGCACAAAGCTGTTGTGCATGGCTCACTCTAGGTTGTTTATTAGTTTTATAAAGAAGCGTTTTCATAAGTGGCTCCAAAGCAGCTGCCAGGACTTGGCCAGAGTACCTATGAGCATTACAAAGCTGCATCAAAATGGCTTTGTCAAAATATGCGTAAAAGCACAACCGTCATTCTATCCTCATCTGGGATGGTGGTCAAGATGAACACATTATTTACATTATTTAAGGGGGAACATGCTAAAGTTTCATGGCTAACTTTTAGATTGAGTCAATATTCCCACATCAAGATGACCAAGTTAAAACAGCAGTATCAAAAAACTGGCATCAAGTGCTGTGTCAGAATGTCTTTGTCATATTCAGTATCAAACATGGTTGAGCAGAGACTATCTGTATTCCTTCCTCTATTTAGGGCCTTTATCTAGGTCTGGTTAAGTACTGCTTAGAGAAGGGTCTGACTTGAGGCTGTCGTTGTTACTGTGTGCTAATGGAGGATTCACAAATTTAGAGGCTGAGATAGGAAGAGGGTAGGGAGAAGAAAACCATTTGTATAGAGAAGTGGAGTTGATTGAGCCCTGTGCCGGGAGAAATATCAATAACCTCAGATATCCAGATGACACTACCCTTATGGCAGAAAGTGAGGAAGAACTAAAGAGCCTCTTGATGAAAGTGAAAGAGGAGACTGAAGAAGTTGGCTTAAAGCTCAACATTCAGAAAACTAAGATCATGGCATCTCGTCCCATCACTTCATGGCAAATAGATGGGGAAACAGTGGAAACAGTGACTGACTTTATTTTGGGGGGCTCCAAAATCACTGCAGATGGTGATTGCAGCCATGAAATTAAAAGACGCTTACTCCTTGGAAGGAAAGTTATGGCCAACCTAGACAGCATATTAAAAGCGGAGACATTACTTTGCCAATAAATGTCCATCTAGTCAAGGCTATGGTTTTTCCAGTAGTCATGTATGGATGTGAGAGTTGGACTATAAAGAAAGCTGAGTGCAGAAGAATTGATGCTTTTGAACTGTGGTGTTGGGGAAGACTCTTGAGAGTCCCCTTGGACTGCAAGGAGATCCAACCAGTCCATCCTAAAGGAGATCAGTCCTGGGTGTTC